GGAGAAGCAGCAGCGGCGGCCATCGGAAGTCGCCGTCACCGATCGCCGGTTGAGCGGTGGAAGCGATGGAGGAGAGGAGAGGAGAGTGAAGGGGAAGAAGGAAGGTATGCGTATGAGGTTTTTGAGGGTAAAGTGGTAAAAAGTTTCTTGTTCTACTTAGTTCCATGGGTAAAGGGTGGACAACCTTGTCCCACCCTTGTTCTAGTTTGTTCTAGTTAGTCTCACATAAAACCACACCAAACATAGGACAATTGTGTTCTGTCCTATCCTGTCCCACCCTGTCTAACGTACCAAACGCACCCTTAAAGTATTTGAAGGTTACCAAGGTAACTGATTTCCAACCATCATCGTCAAGTTTGGCATGTGAAGACTATTTTTTACTTTTTCATTTAAACTTCTTAAAGATTTTAATGTTTATGGTTTCAACCCAAAAATCTTATGGTTTCACACTTATATACCTTAAAAAATTTACACCTAGGCCTTATATTTTTATGGCTTCACGGGCAACCATACGCCAAAGCGTAGGTCCAGTCCTGGTTACAAGTTTTGTCTCAGTAGGACAAGCATATTCATTACTTTGGATTTTATCTGATGACTTTGCTTATTACAAATCTACCATTATGGTTAAATGCTCCATGTGCTTCTCACATAATGGTATTTTTGTCATTTTTTATTTTCTTTTATATTATTCTACATGTATGCAGGGGCGGATCTAACCCTTAAGGACCGGGGAGAAAAGCACTCAGTCAAAGACCAAAAACGTTTGTTGACTAGCTTAAATTTTCTATTTTTACCCTCGTCTTATATGGTTTCCCTCAGTCCCATATGACCATATGCTTGCCTCTCGTACGTCTCATCTAACGTGTCCCTACCCTATTAATTTCCTGGATCCCCACTGCATGTATATAAACATACGTACAAGCGATTAGTACATTTTTTGACAGTTGCCTACATGAGATGCTATCAACGATCTTCAACCCACCACCCTCTCCTTTAAACTTCAATGCCACTTTCTCTCCTACCACCGGAATTGTAAGTTAGGAACCACTCACCAAACCCATTGTCAGCAATAGCCTCCACTTTAACCTTCGGCTTGACCTAAATTTTACTGCATCCGCAATATCTAAATCCTAATAGTTAAAAGACAAAAAAATATCAATTGCTGACCTGGTTATCGTAATTGCGGATCTGACCGTCACAATTGCATGTCTAACCTAATGACATTTGAATCAATCAAGAAGAGAAATTGTTATGAGACCGATTTGAATAAGAAAAATGATCCGTTAACTCGAGTATTTTTTTTATTTCTACCTTTGTTTTACATGCGCTTTTGTTGTGTGCGTAATGGAGAAAGATGAAGAAGGTGGGGTCCATGACCAAAATAACCCACCAAATATAAACAATTACAATTTCAACCATCAAATTTTAAACTTTAAAAAAAATAACCCTCGGTTACCCTTCTAGCATTGTGCGGTGCGTATAGGGGCTTAATTGCAAAAAAAACTAACATGACGCCAGGGACTGAAGTGCAAAAAAATAAAATTGCTTTGACCGAAACCTTAGCCTAGACAAGTGAAGTGATGGATCGCTGAAGCACCCGTGACCTGACCCTTACGCACTGGCCGGTGCGCGGTGCGTAAGGACCCCACCCAAGACTGATTTTTTTTTTTGCTCCTCAATACGAAACACTATTCGATTTTGTCTTTTTTTCTACTCAACCTCACTATATAAACAATTCAAATTTCATATTACCAACACAACACCAATTCTTTAGTCTCATTTTTTTTTAATATAATCTTCATTACCATAATACAATCTCCATTACCTTAATACAGTCATTATCGAAATTTAATCGTCTACATCATGGTAAGTTTACAATATATTAATTTTGATATAATCTCATTTTTACAATGTATTTTTAGAATAATTTCTTTTTTACAATATATTAATTCTAATATGTTGGGTTTTAAAAGAAACTTGTAACCTTGAACGCAACGGAAAAATATAATATCAGTACAATAATTTAGAAAAAAAAAATCTAAATTTAAAACCCAAGCCAGATCCAATGAGACATTTAATTAAATTGTAACACACCATAAGGTGTTTAGAAATGTACCTTTTAGGATCTGGTGAAAAGTCTGATGTGACACTTAGAAACAGAGCACAGTTTCTTCTATAGTTGATCCACACATGAACACACGTAGATCCTCCACCAGGTGATAGCCCAAAAGAACCCTAAGTCTAAATATGTGTATAGAGACTGATAGCCAAAATTCAGAGAATTGAATTTTTCACACTCAAACTGAATTGGCCTAACACTTTATTTATATATATTGGTATCATAGTCATCATATAACTTTAAATAAGATTTGATATTTATCTGTAAATAATTACATAATTATCTAAAACTTTAAATAATTATGTTTATTTTCAGCTAATACTCTGTAATTATCATAATTACGTTTTAACACATATTATACAATTATTCTTCAATAATGATTACTTAACTGTCAGTCATGACCTTTAGGTTACTTTCAAATTGAAGCAAATGTATTCTTGTGTATGACCCTATAGGTTTACATACTCCTTAGCAGTATTGTTGTGTGACACGTGTCGTGAGTATATAATAACTTACATAATATAATCGCATTTCTAATATAATCTTATTTTTACAATGTATTTTTTATATGATGTTTCTATATCCTCTTTATATTGTATCTATTAGGGAGATTATTATGAAGCATTGTTAACATAAAATCAAGTATTAAAATTTCACATATAAATTTGAGGGCATTGCAGCGGTCGGGAAACAGACTAGAAGTGTTTAGAAATACTTGCTTCGGTCATTGGCTCGATATTTAATCAACACATCAAGATCCGATGCTCGTGCATTTAATTTTACAAATGCAGGTGTTACCACTTGAGCAAGACCTAAAGAGACATTGTATTTTAATGTCGGAGGACGTCTTTTACGTTTCGGGCGAGAAGAGATTTTGTCTCGTTACTGGTATGAAATTTGGTCCGAACAAGCCTTCGTTACCAGAGATAACAGAGCCGTCCTTTAGATCTTGGGTTT